ACACCTTTTGTCTGTCTGGTGGTGTCTTTTTGTTTCTTTTTTTTTGGCCCGTTTGTCAGTCGCAAGTGAAAATTAAAAGTCCAAACATGAAAATGCTTTTGCTTTGCAGCATATGGCCAGAAAAATCTTTTTGGAAATCTCTTTTTGTTGTTGTTGCCCTCGGCTTTTGATTGCGTTCTGCTCCATTTGCTTGGCTGGTTGGGGGTGGTTGGTAGGTAGATAAAAAGATTGGGGTGGGGCTGGGCACACTTATTTTCTTTCGACTGCAAATTGAGGTCCTTCGCCAGCTGAAATTGCATTTCGAATTGCAATAGAATATGCCAAGGATGCTAATGGAGTGCACTTTTTCTTAGAGTTTTCAATATGGAATCAAGAGAAAAGTAAGAGAAATTTATAGAGAAAACTTCAATTTGCATATGATAAATGTTTAATACGGTAACTCTAAACTCAACATTTCTTAAAGTTTATTAAGAGAGCTTGCTTTATGTATTATAACTACTTTATAAATACTGAGTTAAGGTGAATTATTATAAGGAAAATTGGGGAATTGCTAATATAGATGATATTTAAGTATTTAAGTAGATCAGATATATAACATTTTACAGGGAAAACTAAAGTTTTCTCATAAAGACAGTCTATAGAAAGCTTTAAATAAGAAATCTGGAAGTTTTTTTTACGAAAATATTCCAAAATGACCAATTTTAATCAATTCTGTAAAAAGGTGTGTCATAAGTATAATATTCAATTTTTAGAAAAGTTTTTCCAAAAAAACTAGAACTTGTAGCAACCTGTGTTCACTAAATCGCTGGAAAACTCCTATAGAAATGTTTAATAAAGTCATTTATGTGCTTATATAAATATTTAAAATTAAATTAGTCTGACCTCTATTGCGTAGAGTTTTTTATTATTCATACAGAAATAAAATGTTATAGACCATTCACTTTGCTCTTTTATAGGTCTTTTTTTATTTCATAAGCTAAATAAATCAAATCTCGTATTTATTGGTAGTCAAAGCGCAAATGCTCATCTGCCTCACCGCCGCTCTCCTTTTTTTACGCACACTCAACGTCTGATAATTTATGCATAAGGGCGAAGCTTAAAAAATTACCGTTGAAATACAAATTTACCGCTGCTAAAGGAGCGTCAACAAACAAAGAGTGAGCGTGAGGGAGACAGGTCGTGAGTGACAGAGAGTCAGGGCGTGAGAGAAGGTTGGAAGTGGCATAGAGAGTGATAACATGCACGGTGTCTGGCACATGCAGAGCCCATACACACCCTATGCACACACATTTATGTCTATATATCTATGTGTACATCTATGTATGTATGTATGTAGGTTGTTGTGCATAATAAAAAAATAAATGTTTTGTTTAACCGACATTTTAACGCCTATTTGCGTGCCAGGGCACGTCATGCACGTTATGCCAATTCAAGAGGTATGCCAGAGCGACTATGGCTATGCAATGACTAGGCCTTTAAAAACACACACACAAATAAACACACGCACACGCACACGCACACGCTCACGCACAAAGGAAGAAGCAGCAAGCGAGCAAAACATAAAAAAGAATGAAATCAAAGCGAATTTGGCAAGCAAAATAAAAGAAGCGAACAAAATGTAATTGTAGCAAAGCATAAGCCAGAGCGAGACAGACAGGCAGCATGTTAAAGAGACCAGTCGTGAGAGAGCGAGCGAGCGAGCTAGAGCCAGACTGTCAGACATTGTCTTAAATTATTAAATTAAAATTTAATGAATAGAGCGACGCATAAACACGTAAAAAGCATAAACAAGTCAAGGTCGTCGCTGTCGACGTCACCGTCGCCATCGCCGTCGCAGTCGACGTCGCAGTCAATGCCTGGCCAACCCTGAAGTTAAATCCCTGTTGGAACATTGCGAGCATACTTAGTGAAACGTCTGTCGATCCCAAACGCTGCTGTCCAAATAGTTGTCTGATTGTTCCCGCTGTGTGTCGACCTCACACTGTCCCTCTCTCGCTCGCTCGCTTGCGCTCTCTTTCTCTGTGTGCTGTCTGTCTGCCTGCCTGCTGGCCGACATATGACAAATACGCTGGGGACCATCAGCGCTACAAGCAAAGTTACTTTGCACAAAAGTTTGCCATTTTTCTTTAGCTTCAGCTGCAACTACGGTTCTGGTTTTAGCTCTGCCTTTCGATATGCCCTAAACAGCGTGAGTATTATGCACTTAGAGAGTGAGCATGTAACATTGAGTGTTAGAGACTGTCTCTAGGATTGCCTGAATATTTAATTAAAGTAAAAGGGTTTCAGGTCAGATTTTCCTATATATTTTCAAAGCTAATAGTTTCTATGTGAAAAATCAAATTTATCTATAATATAAGAACACTTTTAGATACAGAGTGTTAAAGCTATTCCTCTTTATTTTTTCTATATGAATTGAAGCTAAACCGAGCATATCCCTTAGCAGCTTCTACTTAAGTCTACAGGGTATTCCGGCTGTCTCAATTAGACTTCTGCACATTACATTCTAATCAGCTGCTTAAATCTGTATTCCATCAAGTGACAAGAGGGATATACCCTACATCAGCTCCTCCCTTTAGGGTATTCAAGCTGCGACCTGCTGTTCTTAACAGTATTTCCGTGTTGTCTTTTTGGCTTTGCTTTTCGTTGCTTGTGCTTCTTGGCCATTAGTTTGTTGCCTGTTTTCGCTGACTGTCAGGCGACAATGCGACGCGCTGACAGCTCAAGATTTCAGCCAATAAATGCACACGCAAACACACAGACACACACACATATATACCTAAAGGCATTGGTTAAGTCAAGTTAAGTTGTCAACCCGCCGCGTGATGTGGATGGCTAAACAGCGACTGATGTCGTCGTTTTTTATATATATAAAAACTCAGCGGAAAAATCGTTTTCATGTCACAAGTCATTCACTCAGCGCTTCATTTGAAAAACCAAAAATTGTTGCTCACAAATAACGAGAAAAATTGTCAAAAAAAAACCTGAAATTGAGCGCGCTCAAAAGTAGGCAACACTTTTTGCAGGCGAGTTAGCAGAGTCCCTGCGTGTGTGTGTGTGTGTGAAGCTGCTTGTAAATGTCAAAACCTCTACATGTGTCTATAGACAGCTACCTTTGCTGCCCCCCCCCCCCTCTGCCCCACTGCCCGCTGCTGTCCGCCTCTGTCTAATTCTTATGCATATGGAAATGCCAATTTTCGAAAACACACATCCGACATGGGCCTCGACCTGTCTATGCTACGCCGCCCCCAGCCCCAACTATTGAGCCAAGCTAAGAGCTGCCTGGAAGACAAAAGCATTGTGGCTGACCAGAGAAAGATGCGTTGGGGCTGCGCGCTGGCAGCTGCCAAATAATTTGCTTCTTCTATACAGAGATAAAGAATTTACATACGCAATTTATGCACATGTGTGTGTGTGTGTGCGAGTGTGTGTGTGTGTGAGTCGAGACATGTTTTGACTGTCACGACGGTAATTGATCTCGATTAAGACCATGTAAGAGAAGTCGCTTAACAAGCAGACAACACATGTACACACACACACACACAGACACACACACACACGCACACACACACGCACACACAGGCACACATTTACATGTTCTTAAGTCTTTAATCTCACCTGGCCGCATCTTTAATTGGCTGCGCTTGCATTAAGCCAAAGTTTGAGGCGTATTTTGTAAGCAAATAATGAACGGACTTCATATACCCTGTAAGGTGTGCGTTAAAGGAGTATATTGGCTTGTAAGCTGAGCAAAGGCAGTGAGAATTTAATGGACTTTGCCCTACGTTCAACTACCTCAACTTGACATCAGCAAAATGGGAAAATTCTTATACAGTTTGACAGTCACTCATTCAATGAGTATTGCTTTGGGCTGTGGCAGTTGCAGTTGCTTAAAGTTCGTTGATAGCCTTAGATCTCAGATCAGGCAAACTTTTGCCTGTTGTTGCCTGGACAGTTGCTTTAGCTTATCTTTTCAATATATTCTTGAATTTTGACATTAGTTTTTCTCATCTCAGAATCATTTAGTTTTATGCCTCAACTACTTTTAGCTTTACTTCTTTATAACTAGCCAAATGTTATCTAGCCTTAGAACCTGGCAAGATGTCCATGAATTCTCCAAATACTTTTCCTTAAGGAACAAAGGCAAAAGTTCAGTTTTTCTCTTCTCTTTAAACATTAATTTTGACTAGACTTTCTAGAGTTTTTAATGAGATGATTTTAGAGTTCTTTTTAGAGTATTTTATTAAGTTATTTTTAGAGTTATTTTTAGTGTTTTTTTAAATTACTTTCTAGAGTTCTTTTTGGAGTTGTTTTTAGAGTTTTTTTTCTGCAGTTAATTTTATAGTTATTTTTAAAGTAATTTCTAGAGTTATTTTTAGAGTTAATATTTGAGATATTTTTAGAGTTCTTTTCAGAGTCAATTTTGGAGTTATTTCTCGAGTTAATTTGAGGATTCTTTTTAGAGTTCTGTTTAGCGTTTTCATTAAAGTTCTTTCTAGTGCTTATACAAAGTTCTTTCTGGAATTGTTTTTAGATCCTTTTTCAGAGTTCTTTTTGGAGAACTGTCTAGAGTTCTTTTTGAGCTCATTTAAGTATTGTTTTCTACAAAAGTATTTCTGGAATAATTTATAGAAATTATTTCTAGAATTTATTCTTCTTAAAGCAATTTCTACCCTAGTTCTTATTAGATTATTTTCAAAAATTCAAAGTAAGCTTTAAAATGATCTCTTTCCTAGAGTTCATCCTAAGTCATTTTAAATCCAAAAGTAAATTGAGGCCCAAAATAATCTCAGCCAAATATAGATTCAGATCATCACAATTTCTTTTTCTTTTTTGAAGACTTTTATGATGTCAACAATCCTAAAAGATTTCTCTTTAATCTCTAAATCTTTCTTTGCCAACTGCTGTGCTCTGTTCTCGACTTAGCCGCTTTCCAACCTTCTATATGAGTTGGAATCAAATCAGAATTCCGAATCATTGAGCCTCATCTTATCCCATTTCAGGTTTGGTTCCAGAACCGTCGCGCCAAGTGGAAGAAGCGCAAGAAGACCACGAATGTGTTCCGCACGCCAGGCGCCCTGCTGCCGTCGCACGGCTTGCCACCGTTTGGGGCAAACATCACAAACATTGCCATGGGCGACGGCCTCTGTGGCACCGGGATGTTCGGCGGCGATCGCTGGAGCGTGGGCGTCAATCCCATGACAGCAGGTGAGTGGCCATTGGCCAAGCCGGAACACACACTCCAACTAACTAGCTCCGATCTAACTAACTAACTAACTAACTACTATTTATATGTATGTGTGCAAAGGCTTTGGTCAGCTGAATCAAACGACTTCGCTGAACAGCGGCCTCAATTCGGGCATAAACATGGGCTCAGCTCTGGGTGCCGGCACCTATCAGCACTATGGCTTGAATGCTTTGGGTAGGTGCAACCCTCTACCCCTAATTAAAATCACATGAAAAAACATTTTAAAAAAAAAACTTTCCATTTGACATTTTTTTTCGTGTTTTGTTCTTTTTTTTTTTTTTGTTCACAAATTGTCAAAACACGAATTTTCATTTCTTTGAACTCGCTGCTGCTGCTTCTTCATTTTGTTTAAATAAATTTGTTAAGTAAATAAAAGCCACATACGTTTAATTTATAGAGCTCTCGACTCTTTTTTTCTTTTGCTTTTGCGCTTTTCGACTTATTTGCTGGCTCAATTAACAGGCAGGCGCTTAATTTGTCAGATATGGCGGGCAGGCATGATTTTTAGCTCTGCTTCTGCTTGAATTTTGATTTTTGTTTGATTTCGTATAGGTGTGCTAATTAAGTTTTTGGAGACAGGTTTTTTGTTCCGTAGTGTTACAATTTTTTAGACTTTAATTGAACTCGCGTTGTCTCTTTCGCACCTGCTAGGCGACTCGATGATGTATCAGCATGGCGTGGGCGGGGGGGTGAGCTGTGGACCGGGCGGCTCCCCGAGCGCCACAACGCCGCCCAACATGAACAGCTGTTCGTCTGTGACGCCGCCGCCACCGCTGCCAGCGCAGCCCAATCAAAATGAACTCAACAACGAGGCAATGGTAAGCCGAGACACAAACCACACCACACTAACAGCGCTGTTAAGCTTAACATTCTGCAATGCTATTTTACAGCCACTACACCAACAGCAGCAGCAGCAGGCACACCAACCACAACAGCAGCAGCAGCAGCAACAGCAGGCACACCAACAGAGTCTCACACATCAACAGCAAGCAGCTACACCAACACAGCAGCAGCAACAGCAGCATCAACAGCAACAGCAGCAACAACAGCAGCAGCAGCAACAACAGCAGCAGCAGCAACAGCAGCAGGATAGCTCGAATTTGCTGCCGCACTGTCATCAGGCCATGCAGTCGCCAGATGGCGCCACCGATGAAGACGTCTGGCGTGGCCACAGCATTGCAGCGCTGCGACGGCGCGCGTCGGAACTAAATGCAACGGCAATACCTTCGTACTTACACCACGCAGCGGCCGCCCACAACAACTACGAGCATCACAATTCGGTCTACTGAAATTTGTTGAAAAGCTTTGAAAGCTTTTCGGATTACGGTTTTTCCAATTGCGGCACGCACGACTTTTGAACCAACTGCACACACACACTCACACACACACGGACAGACAGTTTGACAGCCAAGCAAAACAGTTTTCGAAGCCAATTGTACAATTTCGTTTTTGTGTTTTTATTTTAAATTAAAAAAAAAAAAAGAAAAAATTAAAATTAAAAAAGACTATAACGAATGTATACGAGAGAGAAACTTGAGCTAATTTAAACATATTTACCCACTAAATGTATTTTGAAAATATTAACTTAAGCAACAAATATAAAAATATTTAAAAATAAAAAGTAGAGCTCAACGAATTAATTATTAAAAAACTATGCAAAAAATAAAAGAAATACGATTTAAATGAAATACATAAAGTATACGAAAGAAATGTAAAAAACAGAAAAAACACGAACTTTAAGGCTCACAATAATTTTTGCTTTATATATAATATATCTATATACAAACTATACAACTATACATATACATATATATATCCTATATATATATATCTTATATAGATGTTAAGCTTAGTAGTTGTAAACTTAAGTGTTGTTGTTTTTGTGTATAGCATCCGAAATTTCACTGTTTTAGTTCGTCTAGCCATAGAGCTACGTATAGCCAGCTTATGGATATGTTTAGATCGAAATGCAATAGCAAACTTTAACTATACCTTTATATATATTTATATATATACGTGTGGTTCAATGTCAGTCAAAGCGTACAGTTTTACATGCACAATTAACTAAAGTAAACAATTTAGATGACAGCAAAATGGTTTAATTTTTGGAATAATACGTAATACCAGTCCATTAATAGATATATAAATGAATATATATATACATATAAATGTATATATATATATTAAACTAAATACAATTATGGAATACTTGTAATAGACTTTCTTCTAATGTTTAAGCCAATAAAAAAACGAAATAAAAATTATATATATGAATATATATGATAAAAAAATATATAAACTATATATGTAAAAGACATTGTATGTAAAATTATGCGTATTATTGCCTAGAAAACTAAACTGAATTGGAAATCGAGTTGAACGTGATTTAAATACCAGTCGAAATAAATTAAACTGATTTGCGTGTAACCAACGAGTTTATAATCATAATCCGACGAGGGTGGTTTGACCAGTTTCGAAATTAATATAACTATATTATGCGAGGGTGGGTGGATAAGTTTTCTAACTAATAAGTCTATATTAAGCGAGTGTGGTCAGACTAGAAAAGTTTCTATTATGGTTTTACACAATATTTATGCGAGAGTAATCTGAGAAACTCGAAAATGTAAAACATTTTCTATTATTTCAATTACTATGAACTTTTGTATTATTTAAGCAACTATATAGACCACCCTCGCACAGAAGTCCGGGCATATGACATTCCATTAATATGCTGCAAATGCAATTAGCTAACGGTCTCAATCGGTTTACCGTTAGCTGCCAATCGCAACAACAAAAAGCGACGTAAAACGCCAATTTCAATAATTGCGTGACAAAAAAAAACAAAGACTGAAATAGTCGGGAGTGCCCAACTAGCAGCTACCCCGAAATGTGTGAGATGTGTTGGAATCCTCAGAGTTTGACTGTACATTAATATGGTATGGAAATGGATGGAATGGAAGACAGCGAATGGCCAGAATGACAGAGTCTTGAAGACTCGAGGTCTGTTACTTCCGAGCTGATGCGTTCACACAGAGCAGACGCTACTAGTTGAGCTTGTCTACTGTTACTGAACAAGTATTTGCATACACTTCTTCTGCATGTCACATACACTTTAACGAAACCAATATACCCTAAAACCGGGTTCGATAGGCAGGATATTAAAACAGTTCGACACGCGTTTCATTTGCCGCAAACAACTTTAAGCTCAAATTGGCAAATTGATAAAACTTTGACAACGCGCTCACACACACAAGCAGCACGCACACACACACACACACACATATATGACCTCTGCTGTTGTCCAAATCTCCATTTCGTGCTATTGACTGCTTTCCATTATTGAGGTCAACTGCAGAGACAGCAGCAGCAGCAACAACAACAACAACAACAACAACAACAACAAATACAACAGTAACAGTTTTCAGTGCATGTTTACGGCTGCTGTGGTTGCATCTGCTATATACCCTGTAAAGTGACAAGTGCTACGTGGTACATTGCTCTAAGCTTTAGCTCACTCACATAAGGCTTTCTTTAAGGCAATTTAATTAGATGTACAGTGAACACTCATTAACGCATACAGCAAATACTCTAGTACCTAACGTATACCTAGCTGCTAGCCTCTATACTATTTTTTTATTCGATATTTCTCTTTGAGCAGTCTCTAGAGCTATAAGTGTTCGTTTACAGGGTATCTCAGGCAACCTTAAATTATTATATTTATTTATAATTTTTCATTTAAAGCAACTTTATATCTCTACATTTCAATTTTAATAAAGTTTATTCGCAGTTACAGGGTATCTCGAATATCTACACCCTTTTCCAATCTCCGTAAATACTTTCACAGCTAAAATTTCTAATTTAAATCAGCTTTATGACTAATCATATTGATTTCATTACTAATAAAAGCCTTTGCTACTGCTGATACTTTTTATAGGGTATTTGACAATTGTCTACCTTAAGATTATGCTTTAATAATAATAATACTTATTGTTCTAAATTCCCATCTGACACAGTTTACAGGGTATCTCACACGTGAATACCCATTTGTATTGCTGCTTGAGTCTTCGAAATTTCCATTTTAAAGTAACTTGTTGACTTTATATATAAATCTTTCCCTCATTTAAAATTATTGCAACACTTTACAGGGTATATCGCAATTCCATACTCCTCTTTTAAGTCGTTTTTATAGGTTGCTTTTATATATTTAAGCATTTCTCAAGTTTAAAGCAATTTTAGCCTTTCATACATGAATTGTATTGAGGTATTTTAACTTTACAGGGTATCTCTGACGTCCACAAAACACAATAAACTCCTTGTATGAACTCATCAGTATCTTCTGTGTGTATACTGTGCATATAGGTATGATTTGCTAGTTTAAGGCAACTTTATTACTTCATATTTATATATATTTTTTTACAGGGTATCTGTTACGTGCACCAGACACAGTGGGCTTATAAATTTTATAACAACTGCAGCTGGGTGACATTTGACATGCACATTGTCACGACAATTGGCCTGGCTTAATCACGCTGATGGCATTTTTATGTGATGTGGCAGACAACGACAAGTTGCAACAGCAACTTGCCACATCTAGATGCGTATATGGAAGGTGGATAGAAAGTCTGGCGCCCGCAAGATGACATGCTCAAACTCCAGTATGGACAGCTTGCCATCGCCATCGACGTCCGCTTCCTCGATTACCTTGTCGGCAATCTGCTGATGCTCCTCGGGGCTGAGCTCGTTCTTGGTCATCGTTGTCAGACAGGACATCAGGTCGGCATGCCCGATGAAACCATCCTGATCGAAATCTGCAAAGTCATTGACGGACAGCCATAAGTACGATGCACACGCACACACAAATGCAAATCATGAGTGGGAAAGAGAAAGAGAGTGTGAGGAAGAGACAGAGTGAGCGAGAGCGTGTGTGGGAGAGAGACAGCATGTGTGCTGTAGGGTGTGTATGCGAGCGCTTCTCCTTCTTTTTGTATGCTTTGCATGCTCGTTCGCAAATTGTAAAGTATATTATTAGAGTATATTAGTTTTGAGAACTATTCGCCTTGCTCTGTGAGAGTCGTTACGAGACTTGCTGTGATAGCTACAGTATACTCGTTCACTTATGGTGCCTTGTGTTTATATTAATTTCCAGTTCCAGTTCCAGTTCATTCTCCCTCTCTCTCTCTCCCTCTTGTGAGTATATATAGTGAAGTGAAAGGTAGAGAACTCTATAAGCAAATCTAACGAGTATCAGGCAGTCGCTTAAGCTTGCTTGCAACGCTCGCTTGCTCAGTGAGGCTGCTTATCATGTCAGACATTTTTATGCATATGAAAGTGAATTGATGTGTGCAAAACTAAGTTAGGAGCTAACACACACTTACATATGCATGACACACACACACATATACACGTATGTATATGTGTGTGTTGCGCGCGTGTTGCATGCCTCGCATTTGTGTCAATCTAATAATCCAACGAATTCTAGCAAAGAGTCAACTCTATTTTCTTCAAATAAAGCATGGAATTTACTCAAGACTTAAATAAGTCGAAAGGATCTGCAGGATAATCGCACGTAAAGCAATGAGCTTATAGAACATATGGAATACGAAACGTAGAAATATTCAAGCTTATATATTTATATTATTGATGTAAATGTAATAATATTAATATTAAAAATAATAAAAATAATTCAAATATTAAGTAATGTAATAATAAAAAAAATAATTTAAAATTTTATTATATTTATATTAAAAATAATAAAAGAACATTTTTATATAAATAAAATATTTTAAAATGTTATAATTGGTATATACAAAATCATAAGCATTTTAGAATATATCAAAAATATATTTAAAAAATATAATAAAATTAATCTTAAAAATAATTAGAAGCATTTTCATATAAATTTTAATTTCACAAATTTTTTAAATTTTTCTCGCAATTTTTTACGCAAATATTTGCACAAAATATGAGTGAATTTAAATTGAAAGTAAATTTGTAAGAATTATTGCTTTGTGATGCAGTCAGATGAATTTCTGAGTACCGTTTCTATACAATAAACTTATTTATTTACAGATATTCAATTTTTTATTGTATATATTTTTAGAGTTCAGACTTCATTGTGCTTTCGGCTATGTTAAATTAATTTTGAAGACATAAACTGGAGTTAACATAGCATTGCCACAGCCAACAATAAACAATACGATTTATTATTTTAAAATTGATAAAATGTAGAATTTATTGCACATTTATAAACTCAACAAACATTTAGACAAAAGTATGCCAAAAACTGAATTCCAACTTGCAGTTGACCATGTCAAAGCCGCAGCTGTTCTAATGCTTACCTCGGCCAATTAGCCTCGAATGCAGCTGTCTGTCATCTGGTGGCAAAATACTTCTTTTTGAACGGCGTCTATGAACCGCAACTAATTCAATTTGATTCAATTTACAACAGAGACTAAACAATTTGCTTATCCACAACAATTATTCATTTAAAATTGTTTCTGAATTTCCCCCTCCCCCGCCCTCTCTCTCGCTCTGTGTTTGCTTTATGCAATTATTTAATGCTTTTTTCATTCAATTTGCTTTCGTTTTGTGTTTTTGATTCTGTTGATTCAATTCCCAATTCAATTTACAGCGAGCATATGAGAGAAACTAATATATTTGCCTGTGTTGCACAGTGTACAATAAGCAACTTAATTGCTCCACAGTTTATTTGCTGCTGCTCTCTCTCTCTCTCTCTCTCTCTCTGACTCTCGCCTCTGTCTGTCTCGCAAATACAGAAAAGTTGTAAAATCAATTTGCCAAGTGAAAGCGCGACATTTTTCACATTCTAATTTAAATTTCAATTAAAATGCTTATTAGAATTTATGACTGGCCTTGAACTCGGCCAAACAACAACTACAACTACAACTACAACAACAACAGCAGCAGCAACAGCAACGAACGGGCTGCAGTTGGAATTTTTGGAGCTGAGCCACAAATAATTGAGGCGCGCGACTAGGCAAATGCCTTGGCATTACCAAAAATATATAAATACCAGTGAGAGCGTGAGGTGGGGGCAAAGGGAGATAGGTGTAGGGCCCGCAAATGCATAAACAAAACCCACAAATGTTTTGGCCTAGAACATAGCCAAAAGCGTGCACCACAACTACAGCCAACTCGAAACTTATTTGCCGGAAGATACCCTGAACATTAGCTTTAAGAGTTGCTCTTTTATATAAGCTGAAGCGTAATGAATAAAAGTGATAACAGATCTAATTAGATATACTACAAGAGTTTGCATGACAAATTTTAGAACTGTAGCTCTTGTACTACTCGAGCTATTTAGGAAAAATCAAGTCTCATTTGCAACTCATTGTTATTGACAAAGTGGAAGAAGCTTGGGGAAAGTATTCAAAATGTAAGTCTTTGGCTCATTCGATTTGATATTGGAAAGCCTTAGGGCTAATAGTTCTCAAGTTATATTTTATATATCTCGAGACAAAGATAGCGGGAGACATGGCCTTTTCTCTGTCTGTCTCTCTCTCTCTCTTTTTCTATAAAAAAAACGTAAAATACTCAAAGCGTAATCTGTATATCAGAGAGAATGTACATTTCAAATTTTATGACCCCAGCTCATATGCTGCACGAGTTATGTTCAACTCTCTGTGAAGGGAATGCAGAGGCATTCAAAAGCTTAAGTATGCTCAATCTGTATAGCAACACGAAAAGATATACCAAATTTAAGGGCTATAACTCTTAAAGTTCTCGAGTTATTATAAAAAAACTTAAGATTCAAAAGCTAAGTAAAGACAAATCCAGGACAATACTAAGAAAGAGAGCATAAATAGGCGCTATAAATATTTAAATATATAAATATAAAATAAAATATATAAAAATATATATATAAATAAATATATAATATATATATATATATATATATATATATATATATATATATATATATATATATATATATATATATATATATATATATATATATATATATATATATATATATATATAAATGAGCTTAACTAAGAATAAGATTCTTGAAAGTTGAGCATTTGCAGATCAAATTAAAAGATACTCCTTATCCTATAAAAAATGTAATGAGCTGAAAGCTTCAGTTGAGCTCAAACTCAAAAATTATTTTTATATAAAAAGATATATATATAAAAGATATATATTATACTATGGTCTATTGGCATAGATATAGTAGACAGTTGTGAGAAGTTTACGAGTTAAATTGAAAAACTCAAATTTTTGTAGCTTCTTTTCTCCTTACAGGCTCACATTATATATATGATAATATATATACTTATATTCCAGATTTAATTTGCTTTCCAATATGCCCCATTTGCCCCTATGCACATACATAGGGTATAGTGAGGAAACTTACCATAAATTTTGAAAGCGTAAAACACTTTAATATCTCTCGGCGCCTGTTCGCTAAACACGGATAAAGCATCCAAAAAGTCCTCAAAGGATAAATTGCCCAGGCCATCGCGTGAGAAGGCTTCGCCTGCCAAGTGGGCGTGGCAGTGGGCGCAGTTGGGCGTTGACCAAAGTAGGCAGAGAGAGAGAAAAAGCAAAACAAAGCCAAAAAAAAAATATTTTTATTTTGGCTGCTTATGAATGTGAATGAGGAAATTGTTGTTGCTGGTTGTTGTTGTCTGTTTGTTGTTGTTGTTGTTGTTCTCTGTTTGTTGTACTCACAGATACGTCGCCGGAATGGGTTCTCACGCAACTCGGGCATCTTCTCAATGCATTCGCGTGGAACCTTGACACTCGATGCCTGACCCTCGGTCATTTGGCGTGGCACCAAATCCGGCCGCAGCTCACGAAACCGTTTATGCACGCTGAGAGGCAAAAGGGACGAAAAGGACAGCAAATGGAGCAACTGATGAAAGGCTTCTGTGTGCGTGTGCGTGCGCGTGTGCTCAACAAAAGGTTGCGCCAAACAATGGAACGCAAAATAGTTTCGCTTATTATTATATTTTGAGCATAGCCGAAAATTGCGTATACGCCCCGTGCTGTCAGAGACACACACATACATACCGCAATATCTCCTTGCGTGTGAAGAACGTGCAGTCCTTGTGTGGCGCATGGAATATTTAAGTCTCGCATAAGATTCAGCTGCGCTTTAAAGGCCAATGCAAACAGAGACGCACCTGATAGTCATCCAACTGCTGTTCGGTGAATGTCACAATTTTGTTGCCCATTTTGCGGCGTTGTTTAGGTCGGCTGGGATAAGACTAGGCGGAAAAACCAACTGCTGGCCTCTGCTAGCGCCGAGCGACTGACGCAGCGGCAGGCCAACAACTTTGCATAGAACAACGCGAAACTGGGATCAGGCTGCGGGTCGATGGGCAGCGCCAAAACACATCCTGCGGCGCCTTTTGCTGCGACAGCGCGTGGCTCCAGCTTGTCCTGACCGCATTCGCATGGAAATTAATTAAGGAGTGTTCACGGTGTGCCAGCTACTTTTTTGCTATCTTGTTTTTGTTGCTTTTGCTGTCGCTGTTGCTGCTGCCTCGCCCGTGGTTTGTTTGACAGCGAAAAAGACAGCGCAGGCCACGCTGCGCGGCTAAAAACATTGGCGCGGGGCGCGCCAAACAGGCTAACAGCAAAAACCAGCCACGCTCATGACACCAGCTGGCAAGGCGGCATTTGAAATGCCCTAGGATAGACAGAGACAGAGAGAGAGAGAGAGCGAGAGAGAAATGGATAGATGACTGTAGTCCATATGGAAACTATGATTAAGCTGAGAGCTTTATAGGATCTCTGTTTGCAAGAGGTTTACTGATGGATAGATAGGCAGAAAGAGGGAGAGAAAGATGGACAGATTACTAGATAGATATATAGAAAGATAGATACAGGTATCGATAGATAGATAGAGAGATAGATGTATCGATAGATGTATAAATGATATGAAAGATATATGGATCGATAGACAGACTAATAGATGGGTAGACATATTAAAAAACAGATAGACAGAAAGATATATCGATAAATTATTATATATAAATATATCGATAGTTGAATATATCTAAAGATTATAGATAGATAGAATGGAAGATAGACAGATTAAAAGACAGATAGAAAGACATATCCATATATCGATCAATTAAAACATATATATATATCGATAATTAGGTATATCGATAGATTATAGATAGATAGAAAGTAAGAAGGACAGATTAAAAGACAGATAGACAGCAATATATATCTATATAGTGATAAATGAATATATATATATAGATCGATAATTGAATATATCGATTGATTATAGATAGATAGAAAAAAGAAAATAGATTAAAAGACAGATATAAATATATATCCATATATCGATAAATTAAAACATATATATCGATAATTAGGTATATCGATAGATTATAGATAGATAGAAAGTAAGATAGACAGATTAAGATAACAATATATATTCACATATCGATAAATTAATATATGTATAGATCGATAATTGAATATATCGATAGATTATATAACACTCTGACCTATATAAGCTAATCGAATGCTGGCGACTATCACTTAGGGCTTTGCTTAAAGTCAGCTTGATAGAGAGAAGAAAGAGTCTTGATACATTTACCTATTGATACAGGCATAGTTAAGAATATATATACTCACCTCATACATATAAAGAAGTTCTCTACACCGACAATAGGCTCTTAGTCTAAGGGAAAAAAGTGTAGCACAGTTTTGTGCGCTGCTGATTTGTTAGTGATTCTGTTTAGCTTCGCGTGGCGACTTTATTAATTAGTTAAAGGCGACGCACGCCTTTTTAATTTGGCGCGTTTGCTTTATGTATTTGTGAAAGTGACTGTCGGGCTTCGGATCCAGATCGAGAATGCTTAGCTTGGTCAGAAAGTGGCGTCCCTGCAGCGTGATGAGCCAAGGCTGCAAAGCACTGCAAGCGAAGGGAACACTGGTTAGCTGGCACAGAGTGTGCGTGTGCGTGTGCGTGTGTGTGTCTCACTCACCTGTGATGTCTCACCTGACATTGTACTTCCTGAAATGTCAGCATTATGGAACAATCGAGCGCTGTGGCGCCTAGCATATAAGCCTGCTCCGCTGGCAGCTCCTGCACATTGTCCTGCTGACAGCTGCCGAGGAGCGCCCGCAGCGCCCCATAGCTGGGCGTGCCGTGCTGGGCGTAGCCGTGCGCCCACATATAATGAAAATGTCGCTACAAATGGCCAAATGGCCGAAAAGAGAAAACGTTAGACAGCCAGCGACAGTCGCACCCAAACGTCTTTCAGCCACTTGGCCACTTGGCTGCCAGCCAAGTGAGCAGCGCGCGCAAGTCCCACAGCTGCCACAAGACGCCATTGTGTCCACTGTCCAGTGTCTGTTGCCCGTTTAGCTGCCCTTTCAATTTGATTCCTTTTTAGCGCCAGGCACTCGCCTGAAGCATTGTTGAAGCCATCAGCCAGGTGAAACTCAATGCAGTTGGCCGCTTTGCAAGGCTGCACTTGAACAGCAGAGCCAACAAAAAAAGAAAACAAGTAAAGGGTGCTGAGCAGTGATCGACTGGCTAATGCCCTGTTAACTAACTGTGCAGCTAGACATAGAGAGACATCAGAAATCTTTAGCCTGAATTGATTTAACTGAGCCAGAAAAAGGGAAGCAGAGAAGCCTTTGCTGATTCTATAAGGCCATATATATTATTATATATATTATAAGGTATATATAAGGTATATATGCTGTATTCCAGCCCAGTTCAATAATCTCTCACATGATTGTAAAAGCTTTGCAAGTAACAATTCTTCTTAGAAGCTTCTTTTTTTCTAGCTAAGTCAACCACTTCCCTTATTAACCTACAAGTTCAAGTTCATGAGCACAACTGCGCGGCATCTTCTAGTCGGTCACTCCCCTCGAAAACACCTTTTCCTTACCCTCATCAAGTTCTCAACTTTATCTAAACTTTGCAGTACTCAACACAATTTGTTAGGGTATCTAAAATGGTTGGAAATCATCAACTGATGGCTATCAAAGCGCAGTTCCATCACGCCCACGCCCCGCCCCGTTCTGCCCCGCCTACGTTTCGTTCGCTATAGAAATAAACAAAAAGCGCTGGCCAGAGCGTGAACCGCTGCTTCCTCTTACACCTGGTTTTTCTTTGGCACCTTTACCTACCTTGACCAACAATTGCAAATGCAAAATTTTTTGCAAAACACAATTTTTGGGTAAGTGAAATATTTCCGCTTTGCTGATCCGTGCTTCAGTCTCGCACGGCATGGGTGAGGGCGCCAAGGGAGCGGAGACAAGTTGCGGCCTTGGGTTCAGCGCAGCCAGCGCTGTCGACGTTGTTTCCGTTTCCGATTCCGTTTCCATTTCTATTCGTGTTGCCACATTCGCTGACATTGTCGTCGTCGTCGTTGTTGTTGTTGTTGTTTGTGTTTGTGTTGCTGTTGCCATTTTGGTGCGCTTTGTGTACCTTGGGCTCGCTGTTTCAGCAGCTGTTCGCCGCTGCGGCTGGCCGGCAACAGCTTTGACAAAGTCAACTATGCACGGCTCCTTCGGCGCGTCCTGCTGCTGATCCAGCTGCTTCTCTACGTGCTTTGCCCTGCCAATTTCAATAGTTTCTGTTGGCTTTGTCTTCATGCCACAACGTTTGAATGTCGATTTCCCAAATGCAGCACCAGCAGCAGCCACGTGGCTGCGGCTTTCATTGGCTGTCTTCTGCTGCTGCTGCTGCTCCTCCTCCTCCTTGCTGTATTCCCTTAGCAGGCAGGCGACCAACAAATGTTTTATAAGCGCCATAATTTCACTAGAGAATTTCCACAGATTTTATGACCATTGCGACCATAGCATTGGGTATACGAGCATTGCGTATTGGTAAAGCATTTTCGGTTTTCGGTTTTTCCCCGGAAAATTTCAATGCAGATTCCAATTTTGTTGTCAACGTGTTGCCAAAAAGGTGTTGAAATGAGTGGAGCAAGCCAATAGCGAGAGTTCAAAAGAGACAGAGCAGCATAGAGAAAGAGAAAAGGAGAGAGAGAGAGACAGGTAGATAAATGTCTGTGTTAGCGTTTTGGCATTCGAGAATTTGTGTTGCTGTCTGAGCATTATTTATTGAATATTTGCGTGCCGAACAATTGCTTTGAGATTTTTACTCTATTCTATTTTTTCTTCTTCTTCTTCTATTTTTTGCTTTGGTAATTGTTTGGTTTTCATGGAAATTTTATGCTGCGTATACGATAAATATTTGAGCTGCTTACAATCGATTGCAGCTCAAGCAAAAAGTTTGCCCCGAATTTCATTTGATTTCATAAAAATTTAACTGAATTTCCAGAGTTTGTTTAAGGAATCTAAATTGAAATGAAATCCTTAAACTTTTGCCAGTGTATATTAAAACTGTTGAGAATTTACTATTAAATTAAAGCTTTAGCTGCATTTATATATTTACATACCAATTTTTCTATTATATATCTTTTCAAATAATTAAACTATATATAGATATGTGCGCAGTCACCAAATCTTGTGGCTCTTCCTGTGATTGCTATCTACGCTTACAGTAGTATAAGTGAGACAGTGACAGCTTATATAGAGTTGTAAAAACATTATATGTTACAGTAGAATAAGTGAGACAGTGACAGCTTGTATTGAGTTGCGAAAATATTAGCCGAGTGAGTTGCGTTGTAATTGCACGCTCCTGATTTAAGGCTCACTTATAAAGAGAGCGAGCGAGACAAAGATAGTTGTCTGGTGGAGGCTGGTGAGAGCTGAGTGAGAGCGAAATGGCTGCTTAGGCTCTTATGCTACTTAAACTCTGCTAACTTAACACCTCTGACTGCTATAACAGCATTGCTTGATTTTACAGCTGTTAAACACTTCTTTTCCTTTTATTTTCTAAAAACTCTTATCAAAACTTCAACTTCAGCGCATTGTGCCTGTTTCAGCCAATTCGTATATCTAGCAAATATTCAACTATTGAGATTGATACACAGTTAGCTTGATAGACGAAACTCACTTTATGCTGATATAAAAATATAAAATATAACAAAATAAATTTGAGCTCACCCTGGAAAGAGTTGAGTCTGCAGCTGCTCGCAGGAAATCGAATTCGCGTGATCGCCATAAATTAAATTCCCGCTCTGAAATACACGTAAATTATTTTGCGGACAAGCGAAAAGTGCATTCAAGGCATCGAACATACGACCAGCAGCGCTAAAAAATCGAAGAAATAAGCAGAAAAAAATATTTATATATATATATATAAAATAACACTATTAAACCATAAATATATGTATGTGTGAATGTGCAGGGGCAGAGAGCCGCGGGAGCCGGGGCAGAGGTGGTCAATTTTTGTGCGCTGAGCGGCAAAGGCCAAGTCCGTAAAAAGCCGACCTGAACCGCCTGAACGAAAATGAAAACGAATGAAATAAAATAACAAAAACGAAACGAAAGAACAAAATGCAATGAAAGTGGATGCGAAGCAGGCGGTAAACCGGAATGAAAGCGCAAGCAAATTGAATTTCGTGCACGGATGCACGCATGACTTAAAACAGCGGGCCACAAATAAACGAATGAGCCGCGGGATTCCACACACCCAAAAACACAACAGAATAAGTAAGCTCGGGTCTCGGTTCTATTGCGGGCATGTACGACTAGGCGATGACCTGTACTTGGGCAACTTTACACCCCTAACTGTCCTCTATATATGGTCTAAAAATGTGCGTATTTCGCTAGAGTTGAAGACTATATTTTGAGATTTAATTTGAATATGGGCAAGTGAGGCATAAGATATTTGAAAAGTGAATTATATTTAAGATGCGTGTGGTCTTCAAGAGTCTAAATACTAAATTTAAGGAGTTAAGCTCTTCTAGTTTTCGAGCTAAGTGTGAAAAACAAAAAGACTTCAAGTCAAGATCTATCTTTATCAAGTTTATGAAAAGTCTATTTTAAGGTATGATGGCCTTAAAAAGTGGAGTATCAATTATCTGTATATATAATATTTCGTACATAAGTAATGTAAGGTCTTAAGCTCTGAAAGTCTTCTTCAAAAACTAATACTCAATATCAAAACGAATACTTATTAGTTTAGAAGAGAACTTTTTGAAAAGTGAACTACAAATATATACTCTTTAAGAAGCTATATGTATAATATGTAGTCTCTAATCTAGTCTCTCTATAAGCAAGTCTCCGATTGAAAGCTATTTCAAGTAGGAACGAGTTAGGCGAGATACATGAAAATTAGATTACAAACTACGTGTGAATATGCCTTGAGACTCCACACACAACATTTGAAGTCTCTAGGAGTTGAAGTTCTCGAGATAAGCTTAAGAAAAGATTGTGGTAGGTATTCGAAAAATATTCTTAGGTAGTCTGCGTATACTTAATAATAACCCATCTATAAAATTTGAAGTCCTTAGCTCTTAAAGTCTTCGAGTTATGCTAAGTTAACCTATGCAGGACATTGCAGCAGATATCGATAAGTAGAATGAGAAAGCTGTGCTGCAAGGTATATAAGAGAAGGATCGAAAAACATTTGAGATGAAATTGAGTTAGCTTGCTTAAATCTCAAATTGTTTAGACTCCTCTGAAACGCGCCTCTGCGTACTCACGACTTTTTCCAGCTGCAACAGCAATCAACTAATCCACCCTCACTCACTATCTATAGGGTATCCGAGAACGAATCAGTAGCGCGTCCATATTGCAAAGGCTCAACCCGGAAACAGAGCAGAACAACAGACAAAAGAAGCAAAAAGAAGCGGCATTCGATTGCCTGCAGGTAAAACACGCCACGGGCACAGGCACAGGTGAGGCTCGTTCCAGTTGAAGGTGTTGGAATTATGAAGCACGACAGGACACGCAAATGGAGCATATTAAAATTTATGACTTAAAGGCGTGTTAAGCCCGCAAACTTACCCGGAGAACAATTGCAATGGACAATATTTGCCCAAGCGTCTGATTTTGCCCGTTTGCAGCTGCAGAAGAGGCGCGCCAGAAGAAGAGTGAGTAGTCAGTGGAAGAAGAAGAATGGGAATGTTTGTAAATGTTTGTAAATCAAATAACAAGTAGCTGGCAGCACATCAAGCACACACACACACACAGACACACACATACACACAAACACACCTCCCACTTACACCTCACAGCTTGCCCACTCCCATGCACAGCTCAGAGGCACACCTCTTCCATACACACCCTCTACACAGCCCACATTGCCTCACCTTTACCACCTGCATGCTGCAATAGCGACACCTGCATTTGTCTGGCTTTAATGTCAAATCAACCGTTGGTCGCACCTTCGTCTTCGATTCGCCTGCCTCTTCCGGCTTGGGCTCAGGTTCAGCTTCGGGTTCAGGCTGTGGTTCAGGTTCGCAGGTCGTGTCCATTGTGCCGTCGCCCGTTGGCATTAAATCAAATAAATCGCTGACATCACTTGGCAACTGGAGCCAGCCCTGTTTCGGTTTTATTTCGATGGCATATGTATCGCCCAGACGGCGCACTCCGCAGCTGCTGCTGCTGCTGCTGCCACTGCTGCTGCTGCAGATGTCCGCATCCATGTCCGTGTCCATGTTCATGTCCTTTGCCTACAAATTATTTCGTTGGGCTTATTCAGTTCTGCTTTTTCATCTTTTTTACAAGTGCAAAATACGTTTAAGAGCGGGTATATTGGTTTTGGGGCAGAGGCAAGTGGATCTAGTATATACTATACAATCTACTATGTAAGATAAATGTTTGTCTCATTGTTTCATATATTATATTTCATATTTTTAAGCATATGTCAATATATATCAAATTAAATATACCTTAATTTTTGATCACAAGGAAAGTGCATTATGAAGTAGGCATTCTCGATCTAAGATCAAGATTTATTGCTTTTTATATATATGACGAAAACTTTTAGCTAGCCTAACCGGATCATCATACTGATTTATTATTCGATTGTTATTTGATTTTTCAAGCATAACTCGAGAACTTTAAGATCTAGACAGTTAAAATGTGGTATATAGATACCTAAGTAAGCGCAGATTAACTAATAGAATTTTTGCCAGTTTGCAGAAAAACTAACTCAAACTCAATTCATATATTCTCAAGTTCCACCTATGTTAAGACTTGTTTTTGTGAGCTTAACTGTAAGACTTATGGAATGTTGTCCAGCGTAGACTATTTCATGCCGATGCCTGCCTTAGTCAATGCCATTTGCGGCTTACTTTCTTGAGCATAACTCGAACCCTATTTAGTATATGAGTTGTAGAATATACACAGAAGATATAAATTAGAAGAAACTACTGCTATTAGGCTAAGAGCATACTACGAAGTCCTTAAAAGCTACAGATTTCACTTTGATGTCAAAGTATAGCAGACAACAAATACTCTACTTTACTTTTACTAGACTAGCTAACAAGCCAAAGTAGAGTAACAGGATATTTCTGAGTCGTTCACTCCCTGCAAAATCACGCTTATATTTTATTGCACTAGCAAATGGAGTAGCAGTTGGAGAGACAGAGACAGATGGAGGTGCAGGCCGCGTTGACGCCATTTTGAATTGAAAATGCCAACGAGTAGCGAAGTGGAGTTGAGAGCGACACAAACAACACACGGAAAACAATAAAAAAGGAAAAAAAGGAGAAGAGCAAGAGGAGGCGGAGGAGGAGAGAGAAAAGAGTTAAGAGGCGACTGCAACGGTTATCGCTGCAAGCCCGAACATGAACTGTTACTGCCAGCCATTGTGCTCGTTGTCCTCGATGTCCTGGCTGTTGTTGCCACATAAAGGAAAACTCTCTGTTTGCCACGCTGATTGTATGATGAGTTATGGCACAGGTGAAATATATTTGCACAGGTACACGGCCGGCGATGTCCGCACGTGCGGCGCAACTTGAAATTGAAAATTAACATTTAAAGCCACAATTAAACAAGGCGCGCAGCAGTCCCAACAGCTGCTACTGCTGCTGCCGGACAGTCAAGCTCCCGCTCCTAGTCATATCCAATATAGCGTTAGTTATGGCATCGTAACTATTCTTCTTCCTCTTCTTCTTCTTTTTATTGTTTCTCATATTTTTTTGTTATTTTTTTTTCGTTTACTTCTTGCAATTTTATTTCGGTCAATGCTTTGGCAGCAAAGCCATAAATTGAATATATAAGCATCGCGTGCACTAACGTGGCTCAAATGTGGCATCTAACTGGACTTTTGAGATATCCTGTGCATGGTTAGAATGAGTGATAGTTGGCGCCATCTAGCGCTTAGTGTAGCTGTCAATCTCTTTAACTAATGCGTTTGGTGTAGGGCAAGGGCATTACCTAACGCTAGATGTCGCTTTGGCGTATGCTTTCTAATTAGATTCTAAAACAATTGGAGTAGGTTTGTATTAGAATTAAAATATCTACTGTTTTAAACAACACCTAACGATAGATGACGCTCTAGTCTTTTGCTTTTATGTGTAAGTTAATAACGAAAATAATTCCACATTGCAACAAAATCCAATGGGAATTATTGCAACACAAATAAGACATAACAAACTCCATAAGCCAAATCTGCTGACACCACGTCTAGTGGACTTCCTGCACACGCCAACCAGAGCTGCAGCAATTCTAAGAAGAATTGCACAACGGGCCAACAACACCACGAGCGACGCCGCTGCCAGCGCCGTTGACTGAACCACAGCTTAGCTAGGGATAGAATTGATTTAAGTTGTCAGTTGCCAAATTCAATTTGAATAAAACGGACTTGTTTCGTCCAAATCAAATAAAATCTTTTTTTTATCATTCAAAGAAAAGAAGAATTTAACTGGCGCCCGAGCAGGGACCGACTTCGCGCGCAATACAGCAAAACGATTAGTACGTGCGTGATACTGCAATATAAAAGCAGAGTCGGTTAAAGAGTGAAAATTCGATCGCGTCTCAACACAGCAAAACGCCTGTACGAACGCGACGGTGTGATCTCAAAATATAAAAATCGGTTAAAAAGTGAAAATTCGATCGCGTTTCAACACAGCAAAACGCCTGTACGAACGCGACAGATAAAATTCAAAGCCGATCAAAGCAGACTGTGTGACGCGAGAGAGTGACGATACTCTAAGTGCACGCAACTGTAAAAGAACTGCAGAGTCTGTGCGAAAGTAACCGAAGCAACTCACGTTGATTAACTTCGACGTTCGGTTCGACTCGCTAAAGGTAGTCTGGAACTTAATTGTTCGATTGCCCATCGGTGGACGGTAATCCTGTACGGTCAGTCCACAGGATACTTCAACGGTGTCTGGTCGCAGGATCCCCAGTAGGAACAACCCAAAAAGGATGAAATCCGGACCAGCAGTGAAGACCGCCACATCATCATTATTGTAAGTTAGAAATATAAGAATATCAAAAACTAACAAAACTAAAACAACCATTAAGAAAAGAAAAACAATTTAAGAAAAGAAAAAAGTAAACTTAAAGATTAAGAGAATAAAGAAAAAATAAATAAAGCAAAGAATTAAAAAGCGTAAAGCGATAAAATTTACATTGACTACAAACGTAGTATAACATAACCCAACTTTGCGATTCCCAGGGGACCCTCCAAAGTAGAAGGGAAAAACCAGCTACTGGTCTTAGAAGAAAAAAATTAAATAAGTAAATAAATTTTATGCACATTTTGTAATAAATTAAGCTGTAATAATATTAATCCTAAACTAACCATACACTTAATATCTATAAACCAAAAATAAATTCCAAAATCTGTAGACATAAGTACCATAGAAGTCAGTTTGTGACGTATGGCTAATGAGCATAACTTGATTAGACCCCCGGTTTTAGGAGAACAACCTCAGGTAGGCGGACAAAACGTTGATAGACAGCAACAACGACGCATTGACCGACAAAACGAACACTTACAAAACAGAGGCATGGCAAACAACGCAGAACAGCAGATTGCAACTACTGTTGCCCAAATTTTAGCAGCACAACTTCCAACACTAGTGAAACAACTAGTTAACCCCTCCAGGGAATTTAATGACGTAGCAGATCAAAACATAGTTGGCGATCAAAATCTGAATGATCTGAACAGAGTACCAGACATCGTCAAAAGCCTCAGGGAATTCTCTGGTGACAAAGCTGAATTCAGCTCATGGAAAAAGAGTGTAGACCGTATACTCTCGATATATGCAAGCCAAGTTGGTTCACCAACATATTATGGCATATTGCATACCGTGAGAAACAAGATAGTCGGAAATGCTGATACGGCCCTCGAGTCGTACAACGTGCCTCTAAATTGGAATGCCATCTCCAAGTGTCTCACACTGCATTATGCAGATAAAAGAGATATAGGGACACTCGAATATCAAATGACCATGTTAATACAAGGTCACAACCAGACGGTAGAACAATTTTACCAGATTGTTTATAATCACCTAACACTAATACTGAACAAAGTAGGATGCATGGAACTCAACAGAGAGGCCGAGACCCTCATGACAAAAATGTACAGGGAAAAGGCATTAGATACCTTCATCAGAGGTTTGAGAGGAGATTTGTCACGTATTCTTTGCATAAAGGAACCAGCAGACCTTCCCTCAGCCCTCCATTACTGCTTAAAGTTAGAAAATCAAAGCTATAGAACAAATATTGCTTTCAATAAAATCCATCAAACAGGTCATAAAAACGCAGCTCGAAGCGCACCACCACCTATGTTGCCACCTCGCATGGCCCAATATCCACAAAATCCGCCCCAAACTATGAGAACAGTACCAATAGGCTTCAGGACCCAAGTGCCAATGCAGTCTGCATGGCCAAATAATAATAATAACGTACATCAATACAATAAACCACACTTTCATCAAATGCAACCACAACGTACATACATACCTCCCCGACCATTAGCACCCAAACCACAGCCACGTCCCGAACCAATGGACGTTGACCAGAGCATCCAGACACGGATGGTAAATTACATGAACAGACCAAAGTTCGAGACAGGCAAAAGACCTCCACCGTTAGCAAACCCAACTGACAAAAGACAAAGAAATTTCAATATTCAAACAATAGAGGAATGGCCCGACTATGACAACAGTGACGCTTCCTGGAATATGGAAGAATACGGACAGACCATCGAAACTTACGAACAGCAACAGACAGAGTACGAACAATCACTGCAAGAATACACAGACGAAATAGAGCAAATCGAAAACGAACAGGGAAACGCCACCGAACAAGCCGATATCAATTTTTTAGGATAACCAACTCTTCGCTTCCTTACATAGAATGTAAGACAACAAGCGGAGAGGTACTCAAAATACTAATAGATACAGGTTCAAACAGAAATTACATACAGCCCAAACTAGTTTCTAACCCCATTCCTAACAAAAAGCCTTTCGAAGCCGTAACAGTCGGTGGAAATATAAAAATAACTCACCATAAAATCGCTAATCTTTTTAATAGACAAGATATTCGAGTCAAATTTTTCCTATTACCAACGTTGAAAGCATTCGACGCAATTCTGGGCAATGACAGTCTTAAAGAACTAGACGCTGTAATCCACAGCAGCAAGAATCAACTAATAATTAAAAAAAACATGAGTATAACCCTTAGACAGAAAAAAATTGAGGCAGTTAACACT